AAATATAACTGTTCTAATGAGGCCTTAAACTGCTGCTCAAAAAATAAAATCTTAAATCCAAGCTTTCACCAATCAACGACATCATCAGGGATGATATCAAGTGCAACTCTCCTTAAAAATCTCCCACAACAGACATGTCACCTCACAACTTGCTTACAGAAGAATGACTCATTTTTCTGTAAGCCAGTTGCTTCTTAACTGCTTAGTTAAAAGTTAAAAAAATAAAATTAAATAAACTTATTTGGAACAACAATCATGATGGATAGAGAAGACAAGAAAAGGGTTCCAAAAAAAAGATGTGGGCTAAATTTTTCAAGAAACTGTAGCTGTGGACATTGTGGATATAGTGGGAAATAAATACTGCTTTTTTTTTCCATAAATTCTAAGAATACCACTTACAACATTATCAACATATTTCATTGTTACCAATGTCATAGCTTTTAATGATTTTATAAGGAAGATTGACCGGTTTTATCTCCTTTAATGTTGTTGAGATACAATCAGTCTAACCAAGATACACTTTGATGCTCCACTGTCAAAAGAAAGAAAACTTTATTGAACAAGGTTGGTAGTCACAACAGTACAAGAATTTGTAATTAACAGTTGATAGATATTGAGTTTTGGCTCACTTTTTGTTTATACAATTATTTTTTGTTATCCAAGTAAAACATATTGGTTCGCCAGAGTGCTGATCAGAAAGAATGCTAATGCCGACTTGCAAGTTACTGTGATGTTTTCTATCAACATCTGAAACAACTTAAAAAGTTTGCTTAGTTTAATTGAGTGACAAGATTTCCTGAGTAGCTCGCTAAATTAAATCTTGGGGAGCCCAGAATTTGGGGAACCAGAACAACAAAACAAGATCAGAACTTCAAAACAGTCAGAGTGCAAATCATTAGAATTTTTTGTTCATTGAAAATGTTCTAGTCTGGTTTGTGTTAATGTAAGCTTTTAATGAAGCTTTTCATTTTTGTGGAGGTTTTTAATCCTATTCAGAATTTTCTAAATATTGAAAATAAATGCATGGAAAATTACTCATGGATCATCTGGTTTCTGTTGTATTTAAAGTCACATGTAATGTAGTTAAGCACAATTTCTCCATTTTGTGTGTAATTTGTGTCTTTCTCAAAGAGTAAATGTACAACTGCAAATATGTTGCACCATTGTATCTACATAAATGTTCAGTGCCATGTAAATAAGTATTGTTATAAAAGTTGGACATATCATTCCTCTTTCAGGTAACAGGAAGGTTACAAGTTAAGAAAGAATGTCACAGGAGACAAGTTTGGTAAGTGTAGTTACACGTAAATTCAAACGGAAACTTGTGTAACAACCACTTAACCCTTAAACTCCAAAGATGTGGTTGTTAATTCTCCCCTCTAACTGCCACATTTCCTCAAAAAATTAAATTAGAGAATTTGGTGAGAGATCAAGATACTCTCATTACCTGGTCCTACTGGATAATGTAAGGATATTTAAGGAGAATGGTTCCAACATCTGCACCCAGTCCTTAAAGGAGAGGTACACTCTGGAGATCATTTCATTTTATTTCTGCCATCAAAAAAATATTTGTTTAAATGGGACACACAGTGAATTTTTACCCTTGAAAGGCCTTCATGGAGCCACATAATTTACCTGCCATGCAGGCATTTTGAATCTTGTTCAGCAAGGTCAAGCACTTACCAGTGACATAAGAGTCTAATGTATCTAATGTTTCTATCTTGTAACTGACTGTTTAAAAAATAACAAGATAGACTAGAGGCACTTTTATCTGGAGTAACGAGCATCCCTAGTAACCAGAGGAGTAACTGCTTGTGAACTATGCATTTTAGTTCAGATCATCTGGGTGGAACTTGCATTTTCATACTTATGCTTCAGGGTTACTGAGTCAGAGTTACATGTACATTCAAAATGGGGGCATCCATAATTGAATATTCAGCACATTTGAAGACAGTTTTCAGGAATTTGGAATTGCAGTCATAAGTGAAATTTATAAATACTGTTTAGTATCAAAGCTAACAACATATCTTGTATGGTTTCTGTGGTAGATATGTACATGTAATCTTTGACTTTAAAGTGCTACCATGATTAAAAATTTTCTCTCTCACTCTCTCTCTTGACTCTGAGTGGTGCATTTTGGTCGAAATAGTATCAAAATCAAAAGAGAGAGCACTGTCAACTCCAGGCAACTGTAAACCTAATCTTAACTTTTTGTTTGTTGTTGTTGTTTTTGTTGTTTTTTTTTTTCACCTACAATTTTTGCATTTTCTCTTTTTCAACAGGGTAGCACAAACTAGAGAAAATGAAGAAAAGTTACCGATTATCCATGTGAAGTGGACAAACCACTGGCTTGGTATTGGGATGATGCTGACCTAGATACAAGGTTGAAAGATCATGAAAGAGATAATGTCATCCAATGTTGGTTTACTTGAGGCAGCAAAGGCTAAACAGAACATAAGGGAAGGAAAGAAAGTTGTGTATCTTTTGGCCATCAACATGGATTTTGTTCACAAGGGAACCAGGATACCGCTGGGATGGTGTGAACTGCTCCAATGGCTTTTAGAACAAGCGATTTGCCATGTTAGCAAACAGAGCTGTTGTGCAGACAAATGCATATGTATGGAGCACTGAAGACATGTGATTGGGAAAGTACACCAGTTGAAACAAGGGCTATTTTTTCATGCAGAATGTATACTTTTGGGATGGTTGGGTGGATGCCAAATGTTCAGCTGTCATGAGCATGTTTGATGTAAATGAAGATAAAATTTTAGTATAACAGAAACTCAGAATAAGATTAATTTTTTTTAACCTCCCCTGTGCCATTCTTGTGGAACTCCTCTTAGAACAAAGTTCATTGCTGTACAGACACCTTGAAGATCAATCCTACTTTCCTTCACTATGTAAACTTATGAGCTTTCTGCCACAGAACAGATGATTCAATTCACCAGTCAACAAATTGTGTTACAAGTGAAACCAAGTGAAGCAAACTGTCTTTTGCTGAAATTTTTTTTATGAGGAATGGCAACAGAACATTTTTGTTTAACTCTGTAAAGTAACGCAAGTGTAAAATATATTTCCTTTGAGAAATTAGAGAGCTATAAAACGAAATACATGGGAAGTTAAAAAATGTCAGATTGTTAAAATTGCAACATAAGTAAGGTAAAATGTAAACTTCACCAGATAAACAGAATTTCCAGAGGTCAACATGTGGGCCATGCAGACCGTCCAGTTGCAGCTTATCCCAGTTTCTGTAGCACAAAGTGACAGTGAACATTGCTAATCCTACTGGATGGAAACCAAGTCCATTGCAGGTTAAACCCATTCCCCACCTCCCCTCCTCCCTGAATTGTGGCATCAAATGGAGGCTGTTGTTTGTATCTCTTTAGAAGACCAGTCCATCAAATTCAGCAAAATTCATTTTGAGGGATGAAAGTTACAACATGAGAATGAATGCAGAGATACCAACGTCTGGAGATCTCAAATCTGGAGATTTTTTTCGGACCAGCCCTTCCCCCACCCCGCCCCCGACCGAATTCGCCAATGCAACGACCTCCCTCCCTCCTCCGGATAAGCAATTTTTTTGATTATGACCCCTACCCCTACCCCCTACCCCCTACCCCTACCCCTACCCCTACCCCCTACCCCCTACCCCCTACCCCCCCCCCCTTCCCCGCGCTACCGAGCAATTTCGCAGGAAAACGTGGATTTATCTGTCAGGGGCTCCAATTGGCTGAATATTCATTCAATCATATGCTTGCTTATATAGCAGTAGGAAAGAAGAAGGTCTGTTGTATCTGTTTGCAATGAACAACGCTCACCACGCAAGAAAATGAAGCCAGAAACCGTAATACAAGCATAGGAAGCCAGATGATTTTGGAATCTTGGAACATATGGAGCTTAAATCTTAGTTTTTTGTGGGCAACTGATCCAAATTTCCTTTTATCCGGGAGTTTTAGTCACCCGTGCGGGAGATCGGCTCAGAATCCGGGAAAGTTGGCATTTATGTGAATGTAACTCTAAAAATTGACCTATATTCTGGGAGAGTTATGAAATCAAAGTGACAAGGATTACTGCAAATCTCATTGGATTGGAATCAAGCTTATAGCAGGTTAGTCTTCCCCCCTCCCCCAGGATTTGTCAGGCTTTCATGACAGTTCAGCAGTTCCCATTTATTCTCCTGAGTGAAGAGAAGCATTGTGAGAGTAAAGTGTTTAGCCAAAAAACACAACACAATGACCCTGCAAGGTCTTGAACATTAACCTCTTGAACCATAGTACAATGCAGAAACATTAGGTCACCGTGTCCTCCACATGGGGAAACTTCTTTGTTCCTGATCTATGACTATTTTCTTGAGTATGAAGTACATACGCATTGCAGCAAAGCCTTTAGCAGGTCATGTTTACAATAAAGGTCGCAAAATCCACTAAAAGGCATTTTAATTAACAAGCTTGCAGTTCACGAGATTGAGAAAAAATTGCAGTACTTATTGACAGAACGTGAAAATCACAGCCTTAAGCTGGGGATAAGTGCAATCTTTAAAATTATGACAGTAAATACACCTAAAAAGAACTGAAACAACTAATATACTAATAATGAGACTGAAAATAACGCTACGCCATAGTTTAATTCAAAGAAAGTACATAATTATCAGCCAAAGGATGATGAGAAGTACATTCAATTCAACAACTAAATTAAGAGAGTAAATATATTTTTGCACTGCTTTCTACTGGTAAGATGTTGATATAAACCTGAAGAAAATCAAAAGGAAATATTTATTGATCATAGAAAAAGTACAACCCTGTGTTCAAATGTGGTGTTGTCAAAAGGTAACCACTGAGAACTGGAGTATCATATTTTCTCAAATAAGTTCCTAGCACCCATTTGGAATTGCAGCTAAAAGGAGGGGTGTTCATTAACCCTTTGACTTCTAAGAGTGACTAGTATGTAATTTCTCCTTACAATATCACCCCTGAATCACACCTAAAGGTCACGAGAAGATTCTCTTGATTGTTAAACTAATTCTTCTTGTCAGCACCTTAAGAAATGTAAAGAGAATAGTATGGAGAATATGCATAATGATGTTATGGTGTAGAGGGTTAATCAAGGGGGTTGCTTATTATTGTCCAGTGCAAATTCAGCTATAGCTGAAGCTTAAAAAGTTAAAACTAAAGAGGCAAATTGGAAACAGGTTTTCCTTGTATCCCTAGATATCCCTACCATTTCACAAAATGAGAGATGAGAGGGGTGCTTGTTTGATATTATGGCCTGAGGGTGGAGTTTGATGGAGGGAGGGTGCTGATTAGAGCATTGGAATTTATTCAAGAAAATAAAGTATTTGCTACGTTCAGCTAGACATATTTCTGTACTTTGGTGACCCACACATGTTTACTGGTATAAACCTTTTTGTCCATAACAAAGGTTGTTACACCTTATTTATTATTATACTTTTAATTGAGTTATGTGTGGCAAAAAATGACCTCTTTGAAGTTTTTCCTATTTGATCCATCAGGGAGAAGTCACTGCGTAGGTTCAAAAATATGATTTGACCTTTTATTTTCCAGAAATGAGTGAATTAATTCTTACATTACCTAGATTCATCAATTTTGAGGAGTGTAGTTGCTCTCAGAAGGAGCATTTCTGCAAATGAACAAAATAATGCTACAAGTTACTTTCATATAGTGTTAACCTGAACACTCATTTGATTAAGCATAACAAGTACACCCTGGAGACATAAAGAATAGAGGATAGGAGATAACAACTACATTTTAAGACAGTAAATTTGTTTTTGTGGTAAAGGTATCTATGCTCTTGATATCAACTAGAAGAAAATAAAAGGGAAACATTTATTGAGCTTAAAAGAGAAGTACAAACCTGTATTCAAATGTGTTGTTATAAAAAAGGTGTCCACTAAGAAATGGATGGGAAATTTTTTTTCTTTTCAGCAAGACACATTTCTATATTTTGGTAACCCCTGCAACTGATTTGTTCAAAATTTTAGTCTGTCACAGATACTGTTACTCTCTTTATTCTTTTGATGTAGCTGCTCAATCAAACATGTTTCAAGGCTCTGATTTTAGTCTAGGGATAACTTTTAAACTTTTGTGTCACTATTTGATGACACTTGATGCTGGCCTTTTACAAAGGCTTTGATCTTACTTATTTATGAAAAGACATTAAAATTGTCTCAAGAGGTGATCAGGGAGATATAAAAAAAAGTAACTTGAGGATAAGAGGTAAACATTAATGCAAACAAATCATATTTGCATAAGTAAGTTTTTGTGGAGACTAGTTTTCATTACTTTATTTGTGCATGTTTAACAAATGTACCAAGGAAATTTGTAATTATGATTATCTGTATTATGAATTTGACATTGTGGTAATCAAATACCTTTCTAGGTGCAGAAGGGTAAGCACTAATACCAAAGTAACAAACTTCCATATATGTTCGTCATATATAACACCATGCAAGTTTTCTACCTGCTGTAAAACATGATAAATTCTCCTATGTAATGAAAGATAAGAAAAACTACAATCTTATATGATAACACTTAATAGCAAACTGGAACAAATTTTAATTTCCTCATTTGGAAAGAAAATAGTGTTAGAAATGCAGGAACACATATTGGAAAAAACCATCTATTGTTATTCAGACCAATTATATGGAAGGTGATAAGAAAGATGTTCATTTTCTCACAAGCGTGAGACAAAAACAAAAGATTGGAGTCTCCACCATTATTCAAACCCCAGACCTTCCAATTTAGTCACAGAGAACACAAAGGTGGAGTAGGCCTTAACTAAGTTCTAAAGTGTCAAGCAGCCTGCATATTGTCAGAATCAACAATGTCCAAAGGGTTGTGTGCATAAATAAAAGAGAAAGGTGGTTAATTTGAGCTCAGTCATTAAAGGAAGATGATATTTGTGTTATCACCACTATGGGATAAAGGAGTCAAACTCTAGACCATTGCATTTCACGCTCTGATGCTCTGCGATTGATCTACAGAAAACTCAGTGGTTAGCTTGGCCATTAGTGGGTCTGCGGTGACAAGCACCTTGGCTGCTGCTAATATCAGCAAACTGTGTAGTGTGAGTTTATAAGTCTTTTTGATTAGACATGTTGAGATGATTCGTCTGAGCTGTCATATTTGTTCTTTCATCCCACTATGTGAATGCAATCATGCCCTGTTGGTTAATTTTTTAAAATTTTTCCAAAATGAAAAACTAAATGTTACTTCAGCACAACTTTTCTAGAGAAAATTCCTGCCTCAAGAACTTTTATTCTCCCTGAAATAATATATAATATAGCCCTTAAGACTTAAACAAGTACTTCTTTCAAAAATAGAAGGAGAAGGGATACTTCTTTGCATGCTAAACCAATGACAATGTTTTCAATAGTAGACATTTTAACAAATTTAACCACAAGCATAGCACCCAAGGAGTGCATTGACATGCAAGACAAACTACAGAAGTGTTAGGAAATGTGATACCGTTATTGTAATTGCACTGTTTAACAGGTTTTTCAACTTATCTTATTCTGAAAACTGATTACGTCTTACCCAGTCAGCCTGTTACAACTAACATCCATCATATTTCTACAACATCAATACGTTAACAAAATTGTACCTCGTCATCAGTAGTCTCTTCCGGCGTTTTCCCTGGATGATCCATCCCAGTAAAGTTCAATCTAAAACAAAAGAAAAAGCTTTAATATAATGGTTGTGGAAAGTCAAGAACTTCATAGCCTAAATTTTTTCATAATGGAAAATTCCAAAACCAATTATTCGAGTTCGTGACTGTTTCCGATGCGAAGTTCGGCCTTTCAGGGTGATTCCCCCAGTATCACACTGCGCATCTTTTACTGCGCAGGCACCACGGGCGAATGCTATGCGAATGTTATGGCGAATTCTCGTGCGCATTCCTGCAACATACGTATTTTTTTCATTTATATCTCACAGTCCATAGATGGGCTTTTGTTTTTCAACAAGCAACGCTTTACATTTCATTTCATATTTTTGATGCACCAAATTATCCCTTTAAAAAAATTAAAAGGAATGAAGGAAAGATCACAAAGTAAGGAAAGAAAGATCACGGCTCAGAGCGTGCACGAAGGCTGACAAAGGCCTACTCAAGGTCTATTACAACCTTCCATACCCTGGGGACTCAATATTTCTCAAGTGTTTTTTTTGTTTTTTTTTTTTGTTTGTTTTTTTCAACTTTTATATTCCTTACCTCCAGCAACTACAAGGTGTATTGTAAACCGATAGAAGAACAAGCGCGATTCATTATTCATATCCCAGTATGGGCATAAGCGTAACTTGTAGGAGGAGATTAGTTCGACATACCTCTTTCCGAGCTAGGTGATCCATTTTTTTTTAATGTATTTACTATGAAACGATTGATGAGGAAAATACAACAAAAGTTTCAAAAATGGCTCGACAACTTTTGTTTCCGAGGTAAATACTCAAGCGCTTGCGGGCTGCTTCTAAATGTTCGCGCCATCGAGGCTTTTTGCTTTGGGTTCTGGTTAAAAGAAGTGCCGTACCTATTTACATCAGTTTTAGCGGCTGACTATTTTAAAACAAGAAAAAAAGGGACTTTACGCTGCTATCTCATTTCTGGATTCCCACGAGTTACCTAGATTTTGTTCAATTCTCAGTTTCACGAGTTCCACGTGCGAAATTATTCCCCATGTTAAGATCTCCCTATGATAGTCACGAAAATTTCAGCGTTGTCAGTCGACGTTCACGCTTTTTTCAATTAGGAAATTTTCAAAGTAAAACGCACTGAAGATGTAACCTTGTGAAAAGATAAATAAATTAACTTTACCTGAAGTGAAGGGCAAATATCGTCGATTTAGTCAAGCTGATCAGATGTAGCGGACATTTTTCCCGAAAATGTTGACATTATTACGCTGTGGGCTGTGCCGAGCCGGGATGTAGCACGTGACTGACTTCTGCACTAGTCTGACGTCACTGTCACACTTTTGCTCATTTCTCATTGCTTTTTGTCATTTTTCTTTTGTATTTGATGTTGTTTTTTGAAAATACACAGTTGTCTGCCATTCCCAAGCTTAACTTTTCATTTTTTTTTTTTCGGTCTCTCGGGTTTCTCGACCAATCTTTGTTCCAAATCCCTTGCAATCTAACATTGGCAACGGTGGCCATGATTTTAACTGAAGCGTGACTTTCTCTCACTTGAACTTCCTGTTGATAAATCAAAATGGAAGGAATTCAATATGTGGTCATCGACACACAGTACATTGAGACTTGATAACTGTGATCGCAAAGAACATTTTACTACAAATCATATTTAGGATGATTTCATTCACTACACGATTTTATGTCTTTGATTGTAAAAAGTTTGGATCATCGCCTGGAAAAATAGAACTTAGCATAATTGCATTAACTTAACCCCAAAGCTAACGAGTAACGATGTCTCTTGTTCTTAACATCATCTATCCACGAGAGATGTTTCAGTGTAAATGGTAACGAATCCTGATCCAAAGATGATCCGCGGTTGACTCCTCTTTCTTCTTCCTCGACGAGTGAGTAAGAGCAAGAGATGGAGTACACGCACGTAATCCGACAGGATTCGGTTTTAAATACTTACTCTCAGAGATCGGAAGGGTGATAAGGCTGTGACTATTGAAGTCCTTTTTATCATCAGGATAACTTAGTTTTAAAAATTAAGTCGATGAATACAGCGATGGCTACTTTCAAACTTTCAAACGCAACATCAGTATGCCCATATGACATGCTGTGAACGCGAGCAAATGACCCACGTGTCAAGAAAACGGTAATGTCGTAACCATAGTCTCGTTTTACATATGCCTTGTTCCCTTTTCCCTCTTTTCTAAGATTATCCTAAGAGCCATTTTGCTGTAGAGAAATTGTGGATGGCTTTCTCAGTAAAGTTTCGCAATTTGGCGGCTTTCGATGTCAATCTGAGTTATTTGCATAAGTATTAAAATGCGTTCTCCTGTTTCTAAATCATCTCCCACCAGCAATCTAGCCTCAACTTTAACGTATCTTCACCTTCAATTATATAATTTCTTCACTTTAATACAACAGACTGACTCCTAGAAGAAAACCCCACTCGAAAGTAACGAAGGAGACATGAAAAGCAGAATTACGTATCAAAACCCCCACATAATTTACTTCGTCTGCTTCTTCATGCGGAAATTCTTACATCTACTTTTTGGTGCGGAATTCTTTACACTGGTTGTAAATACTTACTAGCCTCTAATGATATTTGTACTCACCTGAAGAGATGAAGGGAAACGCAACAAATGAGTAATAGTATATTCCTTGAGCCATGTTGGGTGTGAACGCAATTTGATGTTTAACCAACGCCAACAGATATAATATGATAACCGTGCTTAAAACCTACTGGCTGAGTGCGCCCGAGGAGCAGGAGTTCCGAGTCGGGTGATCATCTCACCTTCGTCGAACCTCGATTTGGTGCGCCGCACAATTCAAGAGGGTAATCCGAGTCGGGTGATCATCTCGCCTTCGTCGAACCTCGATTTGGTGCGCCACGCAATCCAAGGGGGGAGATTGTCGGAGATTACTAGGATACCTGTAGTAGCCCAGTCATAAAACGCCTTTGTTTTTTTGTCGTCTTTTTCTTTTTCTTCCACTACAAAATGGAAAAATTGCGCAATACTACCCAGTGGTTATTGGGCCCCCAACACCATGACAACTAACTGTGATCCAATGAGGGTGAAGGTGTTCACAAGCTGATCCCGTGTGTTATCTTGATGATGATTGACGTTGTCATGCACGGACAGGGCCGGGTCACATGACGAACCATGAGATTTTTGTTTGTAAAACTTTTATGTCAGCTATTTTGTATTTGCTTCGGGGTTGTTGTTCTGCCGAAGGAGGTCAACGTTTTTGGTTTACGATTACCTGGAGCTTTATGGTGCAAACGCTCAAAATATTTACAGAAACATACACAAGTCGTATTGTTCGCGGCCAATCCACACTAAAAGATGTTATTGAGCGGTATTTTTGGAACGGGTTACGTCGGGAACGCTTGAAAGCCATGAAAGCTATGAAAGCCTTGTATGCCTTGTATGCCAAGTATGCCAATGTCTTAGTTGAAAACCGTACACTTGTTGAAAAAAGCAAAATGTTAAATCTGAAACCAAATTGCATATACTCTATGCAATTTATTGAACAACACTACTACCTTGAGACTGAAGAACAGAACCCTACTATGGATGCAAACTGCTTAGTGTGAAGAAAGACGCCATATTGGATTCACTTGATGCTAAGGAACGTGTACGTAACTACGATAACAGTACGAATGGCATTAATTTCACGATCAGAAAGGCGAATCTTAAGTTTGTTTTCGTTGTAGTTTTATGAATATTCTTTTTTAATAAATGCATGATCCAAAATCCTGTGTTTTTTGTGTATAATGTTATGTTATTTATTGTTTACGCAATTTTCTTCTGGGCTAATTTCTACGTAAAGTTGTTGATGTCTTCAGCAAAAGCTGCTGTGAATAGCTTCGATGAAAGTAACGTGTTTGAGAAAGCTGCTCAGTTATCTGTTATTGTATATGATAATAAGCTTAATAAAAGCAATGATGAAGCATTTTCAACAAGTACATTCTGTAACTGTAGATCTCGATACGACAAATTTGTTTATTTTAATCGCCCTCGTACGCGTGGTATTCGTGTTCGTGATCGTGAGCCCAGCAGAATACCAAAGAAAAGAATTACTCATATCATGAAGAAATCCAGGAAAGTATGACGTTTACTTCGAACCTACATCAGAAAAAGCATACTGAAGTCTTCCCGAATGCATCTTTTTACAAACAAAGCTCATGAAAAATTTATGCACATGGAATCAGATGTGAGAGTAAAGGAACAACGAAATATCCCTCTTCTGCAGTGAGGAGAAAATATCGAAAGTCTAACAAATACAGGATACTGAAAATGCTAAACCAATATCCACATATAATAAAAAGTCCAAAGCCAAAGCAGTCGAATGCATGGAGGTCTAATTCAGTACCAAATGTTTTTATAATAAAGTTCGGATATAACGCGCGTTATCATTGGTTGAAAGAGCGTGCTCTATGAGAGTATAGAGCAGAGAGCTGAACTAAAGCTGTCACGCCATCTGCCAAATTGTACTATGTTCGACCTTTTCCGGGACTTCTTTTTAGCTTTTTCCGATAACTAAAAGTGAAATTTCGGAACAAGCGAGCTGGCAAGTAGCAATAGAAGAACCAAACAAAGGTTTGTAAACATACCAGGCGCCGTAATTTACGTTATTAAAACGTGAGCAGATACGAAAATCCTCAAAGGAAAAACAAAATAGACATTCCGAGTTTTAAAGAGTAATTCACGCTCAGTTAGATTGCAAGCTTACGTACGGAAATAAAAATCAAACACAGCTAACACTCATATAGTATATAAAGTTCAGCGTTCAAAAACAAAACAGAACAAAACAGAAATGATAAAAAATATAACCAAACTGGCATAACTGTTAAAAATTCATTCTAATCATGACGGTGTCTGAGCGAATATCATCATGCTGAAGTCCATCGCGGCCCGCTCATCATGGCGATCTCCGGTCATCACAGTAAAGCAAGCCTCAGAAACTACATTGGCCGCCCTTCGAGTAAAAAAATAAAAGCTTGCTCTGATAACCTT